CTGTGTTCTTATTGCTTGATTGCCAGTGTTGTCACCATCCAGGTTACCTACTCTGGCCACATTCCTGGCAGTTGGACACACTGAGGTTCAGATCTTGGCTCTTTTGCATACTTGCTACATAAGCCTTAAATTAGGGTAGTGTTAGCTGCTGTGACAGATAAGCCCCATATATCTCAGCAGCCTAACTAAACAGACGTTTACCTCTGGCTCACAAAATGCAGAGCGGATGACCCTCATCAGCAGGAGGCGTCCCACACGCAGGGGACCCAGACTCCTTTTGTCTTGCAGCTTGCCCACCGCCTTTTAGAGTCTTGAAGTCCTCTGCCTCAGGCCAGCACACGGAAGAGAGAATAGAGAAACTTCAGCCATTCTTAAAAGCCCTAGCCTAGAAGTGACACACCTCATTTCTGTTCATACGCCACTGGGGAAAACCAGTCCCAGGTGGTCACACAGGTGACCACAGCTGGATACAAGGAAGGGGAGAAATGTACTTCCCTGCTGACAGCCACTGTCCAAAGCAGCTCTGTATCGTAGAAGTGGGAACGCAAAGTTTTGAAGAGCAGTTGCCCTCTGTAACCAAAGGAAGTCGTCAACCTCTTGAGCCTCTGCTCTTCATCCATAAAGTGAAAGCATCACTTGATTGCGGCAGTGGTTGCACAGCTCTGTACATTTACTAAAATCAATGAGTTGTACACTTGCTGTGGGGGCATTTTGTGATATGCAAGTTATATGTCACTTCAACTGTTTTTTAAAAATGGAAAGCATCTTGCCCCCTTCTCAAGGTACTTATGAAGACTCAGTGAGTGAAATTTTGCCGGGCTGGCACTGTGTGTGTGTATGTGTGTGTGGTGGGGAAGGGGGTCCCAAAGTAGGCCTGAGTTGAGTTACCAATTGGGTGTAGCTTTCATGAAAGTGACACCCAGCTCGAGCCACCTGCGAACAGGAAGTGGTAGGTGGTTCGGTCTTGCTTCTTGCTTGAGAAACTCTTCCCTTCCCCCCACCGTAGCCCTCCCAGCATGCGACGGAAGACCCAGCCCACAGGGCCAGAGCCTTGTGGTCAGAGCATGACCGCTGCCATGAAGACTGTGTGACACCCTCCCGCCTTCAGCACCACAGATGGGGGCTCGAGGGCCTCTCTCAGGGACAGTGAGGACATGCACTTGAGGCAGCACAGTCAGCTCAAGTGTGCACAGATGCAGCTCCAACTATACAGGGTGAATGGAGGTCAGCCAGGGGCCTCCACTGCCTGGTGCTGGGAAGTTCACGGTCATCTAGTCCACAGCTGCTCCTTCAAGTGGAAGCAGTGACAACAATGAGAGTAAAATACTTTTAGATCAAGTTCCCCCTGACACCAAACCTCTGTGCCTTCAAGCACTCGGTGAAGCTGACATGTTTCACTTTGCTCTGTGGGCTCAAGTCCCCGCCTGAAAAAAGGATCTGGTGCACTTGCCACGGGGACTGTTGTGACACCCCTGGACCAGTGCCTGGTACCCAGTCAGCTCCCCACAGGAGCTCCGAGAATGCGCGCAAATCCCTGGCCAAGGCGCTGCCCTCTCTGGGCCTCAGTCTCCCCACTCGGGTACTGAGGGATCTGGATGTGATGTTACCACATCGTGGCGAGGGAAAAAATAGTGGTTAAAAGCACCAACTTTGGAGCCAGTGCCAGCACTAGCTAGATGACCTTGGACAAGTTATTTAGTCTCTCTGTGCCTCATTCTCGTCACCCCTAAGATGGGGATAATAGTAATACGTTGTGGTATTATTATCCACTGATGGAACTGTGAAAATGAGATGAGTTCGTCCTCAGAACAGGGCCTGGCACGTAGTGAACACTATTTAGCGTTGGCCTCTGCTGTTATTATTGCTGCTGTTGTTATTATTCATCTTATGGATGTGAAAGCTGAGGCCCAGAGAGGTGATGTGACTTACTCAAGGTCACCCAGCTAAAAAGTGGCACACGATAGGATCAAGGCCAAGCCCACTGAGCCTCAAGGCCCGTACCATTTCTGTCACTCCCCACTGCGCCTCTTAAGTCACGTGCCTCGTAACTGGGTCAGAGGCAGGGTGTACCTGGGGGGATGACACACCAGCAGGGACGGTGTGCTGGTTAGTTCCTTATCTCCTGCTGACACCTTGCAGAGAACAGACCTGATGGGAGAGGGAAGTTGAACGAGTGAGGGGGCTATACGGAGGACCCCCAGACTGGACCCTAGGAAACAAGGAAAGAGATGATAGAGAGTTGAATTGGATGTAGCACCTGCCTCCGTGGTGCTTTTGGCCCATTGATGGGGACAGACAGGGACACAGCTGAGACCACCCAAGATATTCAACAGGGGACCTGAGAGATAGACATATAGATGCTCTCTGAATCCTGGGGCCCCTCAGAGACAGGAATTGGCACCTAGGGCAGCAGGGAAGTCTTCCTGGAGGAGTGGGACCTGAGCATAAGATACAGGAGATGGGGTGTGGGGCAGGGGGCAGTGGAAGCAGGAAGCGGGAATGGTGGAGGGCACTGGAGAAGGGCATTAGAGCTGAAGGTAGGCAGTGCTGGGCAGCAGTCAGAGCGTGGGCTGAGCCTGGGAGGAGCTGATGTGCCCCTAACCCAGCCCAGTGCCTGCCCAGGGCAACTCTGAGGCCAAAGCAGCAGAGACCAGCCAGGCACCCAGCAGTCCCTGGGGGAGTGAGGGGGGCAGGGAAGAAGGGCTTCTAGCAACTTGCAGCTGCCAGTCAAGCTCCCAAGAGATGCAGCAAACAGCCCGAAGTGACCTGACAGGGCCAGAACCCAAAGTGGGAGCATTGCCACACGTGTGCGCACATGTGCCTGCACACACGTGGCCTGCCCGCCTCAGCAGCCCTTGGGGATTCCACACACATCGGGAGAAGTAGGTCAGCAGAGCAGCCCAGCGTCTTTTCCTGGTGGGCAGGGGGCAGAGTTCAAGGCAAAGAGGGTGTGTGCTCATCAGCACCCCTGGGGGTGGCCCCACATTCTCCGCAGGAATGGCCTTACCTGTCCCAGTGGCCCCAGAGCAGGTGGCCTGGGTTTTTTCATTCAGGGGTTGGAGAGCTGGCCCTTCCAGCCCTGCAGCCAGAGAAAGACTATCATGGGGAGATACCACCCCACTTCAGCCCTGTAGCAGGAGGGGCCCAGTGCTGTCCAGGCCGGAGCTGAGGTTGCACAGACTTGGGATGGTGCCAGGCAAGGTTGGCTTCAACACACTGACAGTTGCAGAGGAAACGGGACCAGGTGTTGGGGGTCTGGCACCATCCCTCCGTCTAGGGGTCTGTCTGAGGGCATCATGTGGGATTTCAGCTCATTCATGAATGGTGGGGAGCGGGGGCCGGACGGGGAACAGGATCCTGAGGAAGCAGAAGGGGGCGGGAGCCCAAGCGGAGGAGGGAAGGACGGCTCTCCGCTCCCCTAGTCAGCCAGCTGGGAGGACGTGCAGATGGAGCTCCGTTTGGGGCTGGGTGGGAGGCCAGGAAGTTCCCTCCTGATGTTCCTTCTCTCCGTGTGAAGTGGGAGGCTGGGTCGTGCAGAGAGGGAAGAGGAAGGCAGAGGGAGGAGAAGAGGGTTTGGGCCTGGAAGGGGAGCAGGCAGACCAGGGTGAAGATGCCAGGCTCACCCCTGCCCACGGCCTCCAGCCGTGCTCAGCAAGAGAGGGTGAGAACACATCCACACTCAACACTTCGGGAGGGGGAGTTCACTGTACCAGGCACCAAGGCTCCATGCTGTTGACCCTTAGGGAAAGGATACTATTACATCCTTTTTATAAAATGGGGAAACTGAGGCACAAAGACATGAAGTAACTCGCACGAGGACATCTAGCTAGTGAGTCAGAACTGGGATTCAAACTTGGGCAGGGTAGGACTGGGGGCAAAGGGAGTGAGGGCAGAGGAGCTGCACCAGGAGGCAGTGCCCCAGGGTAAGCCTAGAGAGGGTTCGGCGCTGGCCTCTGCTGCTGGCGCGCACACAGACATGGACACACGGACACCTGCTCCTGGAGGCTCAGCTCCCTGGCCTAAGCCTCCCCCCATTAAACAGACAAGAAGAGCAGGCCCCAGATGGATGCTCACTGTCACCCAGCCCTGAGCTCTCCCTACGGCAGCTCTCTGCACCCCCAGCACCAACTGGAGACAAAGTCAGTACCCCTGAGGGGGTGACCAGTGCGGGTGGACACTGAAGGGGTCAGTCAGGCCGTGAAGGTGGAGGGTGAGGGTGGTAGAGGGCTGGGTCTTTGTGGAACAGGTGTTCTGTCCTTGAGTCCAGGGGGGCTGGGCAGGACCCTGGGACCGCAGCTGCAGTTGTGTGTAGCTGAGCTGGGGTTGTGTTGTCTGTGATTGGGGGAGGGATTATAAGGCTGTGGTGGGTGTGCGGCCACACCTGCACCGCCCTGCCAGAGGCTGAGGCTCCTGTCTGAGGCTCCTGTGGCTGAGGTGTTTGATCCTGTGACCCCTGCCCTCAGACCGCACCTGCCCCACCTCTGCCTTATTTTCTCTACAGCCCACGTCACCTTTAATCACAGTATATCATTCATGCGTTCACTGTATATTGTCCATTTCCACCCTAGAACCTAAGTCCTGTTGAGGGCCGGAGTCTGATCTGTGTGTTCGGTGCTGTGTACCCAGGGCTCCAAACAGCACCTGGCAAACGGCAGGTGCTGATCAATACTTGTGAATGGGAGCACTCATGTGAACTCATGTGTGTCTGTGTGTGAAATAAATACGTGTGCCTTCTCTGGCATTGTGTCTGGATAATAGCATGAGACAGACCAACGGTTCCCAAGTAGGGGCTGGGGAGCAGTGACTGTGTCTCCAGGGAGTGCTGGCTCAAGGCTGTCCCTGAAGCTTTTGGGTAAAGGTGATGCAGTGAAGATGCTTTTCGCCCCCTCGTGGTCATCTTAGGCCAGGCATCGGGCCCAGCCCTGGGGATCCTGGGCCCTGGGGAGGGAGGAGAGGGCCCTGGCCTGATGTCACACTCCATGCCACACCCCCCACACCAGGGAGAAGATGAGCGTGGGCTGCCCAGAGCCCGAGCCACCCCACTCCCTGCCCTGCTGTGGGCCAGGGACCACCCCTGGGCTGGGTGCAGGCGTGCCCCTCCTCACTGAAGACATGCAGGCACTGACCCTCCGCACACTGGCTGCGAGTGACGTCACCAAGCACTATGAACTCGTCCGGGAGCTGGGCAAGGGCACCTATGGGAAAGTTGATCTGGTAGCCTACAAGGGCACAGGTGAGTGTCTGTGGGTAGCCAGTTCTAAGACAGGAGTGGGGACTTGGCTGGGGCTTTCTACAGGGGCCAGGAGGCCATCAGGGAGGCAGTTAGTGGTCCGGATGGAGAACATGTAGTCTGAAGTGGCCCAGGGAAGAGGGAATCAGGCAGATGGAACAGGGCGAAATCTCTGGGCAGAGGATCTAGACTGGAGGGTGGGCTACTTTGGGGCCATATAAGGTGCCTTTGGGAGAGCCAAGGGGATGCACCCAGGGACATGTGAAGCTCAGGGGAGAAGTCAGTGCTGGCCGTGGTGTCTGGGGAATCACCAGCATATCAGTGATAGCTGCCATCAGGGAGGTGGTCTGAGCTGACAGGGGGTCCTCGGGAAGAAGGCACCATACTTACAATGGGGTGGGAGGTGACCTGTGAGGTCAGTATGGCCACCTCCATTTCAGGTCATTGAGGACGCTGACACCCAAAGAGATTCAGTCACTCAGCCAAGGTCATGCAGCTACAGAGGGTGTGAGCTAGAATGACCCCAGGGGTCAGCTCCAGAGCCTTCTCACTTAGCCACTGAACTTGATGCCTCCCTCACAGGAGTGCCAACTCAGCCAGCCAGGGATGGGGGCAGCATGAGCGCCCATGGCTGCACACAGTGGGGGCAGGGGGCAGTGGGAGTTAACACTGGACATGGGGTCACCTGAGCTTTGCCACTTGCTAGCTGTGTGACCTTGGGCAAGTGACTTAACTTCTCTATGCCTAGGTTTCCTCCTTTGTAAAAAAGGTAGCATTAATGCCCAGCTGATAGGGTCATTATGAGGAGTGAGTTGTGAATGTGAAGGGCAGAAGGCGGGGACCATGGTGCATAAGTGTGGTACATAAGTGCACACATGCATCACACAGCCAGGAACCCACATGGGTACAGATGCCCACTCAAGCTCAGAGTCCAGGACATGTGCCCAGCAGACCCTCACCTCTCCGAGCCTAGTTCCTTCTTATTCATTCATCCATTTAACAAACATTTCTTGAGCACCTACTCTGTACCAGACTCTGCTGAAGGCACTGGAGATACAGCAACGAACAAGACAAAGGTTCCTGCGCTCAGGGAGCTGCCTCTAGCTGGGGGAGACAGACAAAATAAGCACACAGTATGTCAGGAAGAAAAGGGGAGGGTGGAGGGAACAACAGGCTCTCCTTACCACCCTCCTCATTCAGGACAGCGGGCTGGGTATAGAAGACCAGGTTGACCCCTCACTTGCTGCATGGCCTTTGACAAGTCCTTTTGTCTCTCTAGGCCTCAGCTGAGGACAGACAGACATGGGTATGTGAGGGGCAGGGGCGCAGGAAGGGGGGTCTTCACCACTGTCACTGTTGCCCCACCAGGCACGAAGATGGCACTGAAGTTTGTAAACAAGAGCAAAACCAAGCTGAAGAACTTCCTGCGGGAGGTGAGCATCACGAACAGCCTCTCCTCCAGCCCCTTCATTATCAAGGTCTTCGACGTGGTTTTTGAGACAGAGGACTGCTACGTCTTCGCCCAGGAGTACGCGCCCGCTGGGGACCTGTTCGATATCATTCCTCCTCAGGTACCTGGGTGGGGGCTGAGGGACAGGAGATGGTCGTCTGGGTCCCCAAAGTGTGAGAGCCTGGGAGGAGTCAGACCACTCGTTTAATCATTTATTGAGCACCTACTGTATGCCTGTCACTCTTTGGAGGGTTGGGGATACACAGCAAACAAGAAAAGAGGTTCCTGCTCTGGTCCTAGTGGCAGAAACAGACACTTCACAATTAGCCGGATGACACACTGAGATGAGGAGCAGCCTGAGTGATGGGACGAAGTTCAACAGCCCCCCTCCTCCACAGCTGCATAGGAACACGTGGGGACACAAGAGGAGAGGTGGCAGGGCCAGGAGAGGCTTCCCAGAGGAGGTGACTTGGAGTGGGCAGAATGCCGGGGGACTCCAGGCACCTGGCTTTACAGGGTCTGAATCTGCTCTGCGGACTACTGGATAAGTGACAAGTCCTCTCAGAGCGTCAGAATAAGGGAAATGGGCAGATAGCAGCCCCAAGCAGAGCTGAGTCAGTGCGGGGCAGAGCGCTTAGCACAGCACCTGGCCCATAACTATACCTATAGTTATTGGGGGAAAAGGGGGTGGCGACGAGCACGGGGGCGGGGAGGGAGCTGGGGGTGCCCAGGTGGGATGGGGGGTGCGGGGGCCGCAGGAGGGAGGCGAATCCCAGATGGGGGAAAGGGACCCGGGAGGGAGTCGTGGCGGTGGCGGCGGCGGCGGCGGCGACGGTGGCGGAGGGAAGGAGAGGGCTGGGGCAGGGCCGGCGCCCCGTGGAGGCGGGCCGTAGGTCCCCCGCCC